CCTCAAAGTCTATCCTTTGCACTCCCTTGGGAGCTCCCTGCTCTGCTCCCCTGGCTGCTCTGGCACACCCCCTTAGTGTTTTGCCTTGGTGTGATGGGGTCAGACCAGACCAATCCTGACACTGAGTCTCCATTGTTGTCCCCAAGAGGGCCATGGGTCAGCGACGGACGTCGTGTCTCATAGTGGGACCAGCCATATGGTCCTCTCTGTGCCTTGGCTGCTCTGAGCAGGGATATAGTCCTCCAGGCTTGGTGGGCCAGGATGTGCTCCACTCTCTATTGTTCCCCTTCATTTGCTCCCATGTGCTCTGATCAGACATGTCCCTCTCCCCTAGCTGCAGCTTCAGTGCCGTCCTCTAAAGTAAATTCTTCTGGGGGGAGGAGCGGTATCCATATAGCTGGGATTGGTGCTGGGCCTCAGACCCCTCCACTGGCTCCCTCTCCATGCTGGCATGCTGCATTAGCATCCCGGAACACCGAGTTAAAGTCTGGTCCCTTTTTTCCTGTGGAGATGTAAACAATACCCTCCCCTTGGGTGGGTCAGTGCCCTGTGCCCTTCCTATACTTTTCTATCCTTTTTTGTTCTTTCCTCCCCCTCCTTCCTTTTTAGTTGGCTACCATATGTACCCCTGGAGTTGATCTGGCTGTTGCCATACTGCCTGGACCTCACTCCTGGAATGTTTGTGTACGGTAGCTTTTTCCCTGTGCCCCTTTTGCATTTCTTTTTTTTTTATAAACTTACCTCAGTGGACTCATGTTGTACTTCTCCTTTTGCACTTGGCTTACTTCACTTAGCATAATTTCCTCCAGTTCTTCCCATGCGGTAATGTGCTCCATGCATTCATCATTGCTTTTTAGCGATGCACAGTACTCCATTGTATGTATGTACCACAGTTTTTTAATCCACTCGTCAGTTGATGAAAATTTCGGGTTTTTCCAGTTGTGAACTGTGCCACAATGAACATTGGAGCACAAATGGCTGGCCGTGATTTGTTTCTTGCCTCTTCTGGGTATATGCCCAGTAGGGGGGTTGCTGGGTTATATGGTAGCTCAGTCTCCATCTGTTTTTTTAATAACATTTTCAAAGACTGAAAACACCTTCCCTCCAAATATCCGAGGTTGAGGAGTTTGAGGCCACTCAGTGGTGCCGTGGGAAAAAAGCCTGGCGATCTATTTCTGAAAAGTCATCCACAGCTTTCCTGTAACCTGTGTGGAGGGGACACTTGGAGGGGAATTCGATTCAGTGGCAACTGGTTTGCCCTTGATGAGCTCACAACTGTGTCTCCTCCCAGGTAGAAGTGGGGAGAACACCCATGTTTCTACTGATCATTCTCTTTGTGTGAGTGCGTGTGTGCATGTGTGTGTAAAGCGTGATTTGTATCATTGTACCTCCCTCCAACCTTCCTCACTCCTTATTTCATAAATTTCTCTTGGTAGCAACTGAAGACAGATGTGTGTCCTGCTACCTATTGCTGGGTTCATCTTGGCAGACACACCGCAGTCATGTTCCTTGGCCAAATTGCACCTGCTGCGGCATGATTTCATTGGTATTTTGAAGTTTCCATCCAAAGAGAATGTATAGCCTTGGGATTTGCCAAAGTTCAAAATAGAGAGGAGAGGGGAAGAAACATTTGTAGCTTTGGAAAAAACCCACTTCAAAGTAAGAAGGGGCAGGTGTATAAATTTGCCCAATGCCAGCCCGTAACTGGTGGGAAGTGACCCACTTGCAGACAGCTGGAGGGCCAGAGGAGAGCGCTCCCTGTATTACCCAGGCTGTCTGAAGGCAGTGCCTTTCCCAGAGTTGTGATGCCCATTTGTTGGGCTTCAGGACAGTCTCTGGAATTCTGGATTTTGCTGAAAGCTTTATATCTCCCAGCTGCACCATCATTGCCAGCTCAGCAGCCTGTGGGCCAGGGCATGCCTAAGGGAAGGGAGGGGCTCAGGTGGTTGGTGTTTTATTCTGGGTTCCCCTGGCTGGGGAGTGCTGGTGGTGTAGTGGCTTCCCTTTGGGCTGCGATCCTTAAGGTCAATAGTTCAAAACCACCAGCTGCTCATCAATAGAAAGGCAGAGTTTTCTACTCAACTCCCTTAAAGAGTTACAGTCTTGGGAACCCACGGGTGCATACCCTGTCCTGTAGGGTCACTATGAGTCATCATGGAGTTTGGTTTGGGTTTTTTTAGATGATGAGGGGGTGGGTGGTCTTAGTCAACTTTTTTGTTTTTACCAGAGTAATGTTAGGTTTACAGAAAAATGGCATCAAACATGCAGCCCGTTCTCATATCGATTCCTCACCACTGTGACCAGGTGGAGCAGAATGAAAGATGAAGCTTTCCCCTCTGAAGAGTTACAGACCTCGGGGGACAGGTCTGCCCTCCTCTATAGCACCACTATGAAGCAGAATCCAGTCAAGAACAGTGAGGGTTTTTTTAATCAGTTAAGCCTTGCAGTTACAGGGAAAGTTTGACTGCTAACTAACCAAAAGGTTGGCAGTTTGAATCCACCCAGCAGCTCCTCGGGAGAAAAACCTGGCCTTTAGTTTGTATAAAGGTGACAGCCTTGGAAACCGTCTGAGACAGTTCTATGCTATCCTAGAGGCTAGGAGGGTCGCTAGGAGTCGGGTTGGCCATGGCAGAAACCTCATTTACCCTCTCTCTCTCATGGCTGTTTCTCAGGGCGGCTGCAGCAACTGGAGGATGAGCGTCTCAGCGAGTATGTGAACGCTGACCATGACCTGTACTTCTCCAACCACCGGTCGGTGGAACCCCCATCTGGGAGGCCTGACGAGAGGCGCCAGGCCGAGATGAAGCGTCTATACGGGGAGAGCGCCACCAAGATCATGGCCATGGAGGCAGCTGTGCAGCTGAGCTTCAACAAGCTCTGTGATCGCAAGCGGCCCAAGTACTGGCCAGTGATTCCCCTGAAGTTCTGAGGCAGCTTCAGGGCCTAGCCACGCTGCCCTTGGCGCTCAGAGAATGGGCCATGGGGTGGCAGGGCTGGGAGGCAGACTGCACCCCAGCCCCTCCCTGTCTATCGTGGTCTTGTTATATTATCAATGGTGTTTGATTCATTAAAGTTTTCCACCTGCTGCCTAGTGCACCACGTTTCTTTTGCTATCCCTGGTGGTGCAGTGGTTAATCTGCTGCTCGCCCACAAGTGAAAAAACGAGGCTTTTTGCTACCACCCCTTGGCTTCCTCAGAAACCTTCGGGCGCAGTTCTACTCGGAATCTACTCCAGGGCAGCGCTTGTGCTATTTGTTTTTGTTTTTTCTCTCCCCAGTTAAATTATGCAAATACCTTATGGGAGCCAGCCTGGCACCTCCCCCGACTCCACCTCCTTTGCCCCCACAGAAAATGATTGGAGGCTGCAACAAGATGAGTAAGTGCCACTTCTCTTCAAGCCAGGGGCTGCACACTTGCTCTGTAGAGGACCAGAGCACAGGTAGCTTTGGCTTTGGAAGCCCTGTGTGTTTCACTTGGAAAACCCTGTGTGTGGTGACCGTCAACTATGCCCTTGCAACATGGTGGCCACCAAAGACCGCAGGAAGCCAGTGGATGTGGCTGTGTCCCAATAGACTTTATAAAAACAGGCTGATAAGGAAGGGAAAAAGTATGTGTGCATGGGGACAGTGGTCAGACCTCCTCTTGTTTCACAATGGGAAAGGAGACTCGAAGTCCCTGACTCGAAGTCCCTGTCAGCATCGCCCAAGGCCAATTCCTAGCAGCATCGCCAAGGCAAGCTCTTAGGAGGCCCAAGTTGGACTTGGCCTCCACCCTACCAATTCTAACATCAGCCATCTTTCCCACAGAACCCTATGCTTCTTAGCTGGGTTCAAGAATCCATTGCATGGCCACAGGGCAACTCACAGAACATAGGAGCATGGGGATTGTTAGAGAAGTTAACAAGTTAGAAATGCTCGAGATACAAGACAGCCTCTTCTCAGCCGTGCCCCCAGGCTGGTCTCTGGTTTCCCATTTCTGATTTGAGCTTAAATTCTGAGCCCCCCAATTTGCAAAAGGCTATGGGTGGCAGTGACAGCCCACAGTCCATTTGCAGAGTCCCCACATAAGCCAAAATAAAACCAAATTTGTCGCCATCAAGTGGATCCTGACTCATAGTGACCCTATAGATAGGGTTGAACTGCCGCTGCAAGTTTCCTAGACTGTCACGCTTATGTGACCGTTGTAGAAAGTCCCTTCTTTATCATAGTGGTTGGTGCTATTGAACTGCTGACCTTGAGGATCTTAGCCACCTGCTAACCATTATACCATTAGGACGCCTCTATAAATTCCCCAAAAGCACACCACTCCTCTCTCAACCCGAAGGCCCTGAGCTTTAGCTTCCCCAATTAACGGCCTAGAAGGAGTACCCCAAAAGAAACCGGAATTGGGCTGGGGAGAGAAGAGCTTTTGCAGTACACATTTTTCCCTCTAGGCGAGTATCAGCAACTCTGCTGAGTTAGTGCACTCAGTGGCGTCGTCTGGGAAGGTTCTGTCTGTTCACAGTGAATTTTTCGTAAAAGCAGTTTCACTCAAACTGCTGATGGCTGATTTAAAAGAACAGCATGTGGCTGTGGAATTTTGTTACCTGCTTGGGAAAAATGCCACAGAAACTGTTGTGATGGTGAATATAGGGATAGTGCTATGGGAAAAACTCGTGTACAAGTGGTTTTCTCATTTCAAGAAAGGTGAAATGTTGATTGACGATAAGCCTTGTTCTGTATGTCCATCAGCTGCCCAAATGGATGAAAATGTCAACTTGTAGTGCATGTGGAGTTTGTTCCACCAGGTCAGACTGTTAATCAGGTTCTGAAAAGATTGTGTAACTGTGTGTGACAAAAGCCTGATTTGTGGCAGATGGGACTGGTTTTGCCACAACAATGCACCTGCTCACACAGCTTAATGCACCAGTTTTTGGCAACAACAACAACAAAAAACCCAGCATGCCTATCTTGCCCTATGCACCTTACTCACCTGGCCTTTTTCCATGCCACTTTTTGTTTTTGTGAATAAAGAGGGACATGAAAGGATAGCGATTTGATGGCGTAGAGGAGGTGAAGAAAAAAACGGAGAAACAGATGAGTTTTAAAAATGTTTCCAAGCATGGAGTCGCAGATTTGACAAATGTATGAAGTGTATTGGAGAGTACTTTGAAGGCGATAGGTTGTTTTTTAAAAAATCTTAAATACATAACTTTGGAAAAACAATCCGTTTCATGGGGGGACCTCCTCGTACTTCACAATCAAGCATCCTGCCTGAAGGCACTGAGCTTCTCTTGCTCTATGGCCTGGGCAATCCACTGCTCGGTCTCCAGCTCTAGCTCCTAGTTCGGCTGATACTACGCCTCTGGTGTCACTACCATCTCCTGGATCAGAAAGGCTCAGTGTGCAGGGAGTCTCAGAGTCCAAAGAACCTACCCCACTCCTCTCTCCTCTCGCTGCTTCGCGGAAGGCTCATTTTATAACCAGCAGAATGACCATCACAATTAGCCCAGTTTAACAAGCACTCACCACTGAATCCTATCTTTTTCTTCCTATATCTTCTCTTATTCAGCAAAAAGTCATGTGCTGGAGGTTACAAAAAGCCACATTAAATAACACACTGCATTGCAAGGCCATCGGCTGAATTGGGCTTGCAAAGCAGGATTTTGCCAACCCCTGCCCTCCTGGAATAGATGCCACCCTTGTCTGCCATTATTTCTAGCATCCCCGTGGAGCATGAGTCACCAATGAAAACCAACCACTTAAGGAGGAACCAATCACAAGGTTGGATATATAGCCACCCCCCAAGGGGATGAAGAACAAAAATGTGGGTGAAGGGAGATAACACAACGGACAGTGTAAGATGCGAAATAATAATATGTAATTGATGAAGAATTCGTGAGATTGGAAGGGTGGGGTAAAAAGCTTATACTAAGGGCTCAAGTTGAAAATGTTTTGGACATATTGATGGCAACATAAGTACAAATATGCTTGATACAATTGATGTGTGGAATGTTACAAGAGCCCCCCAAAAATGATTTATAAAAACGAACCCCTTTTGGAATGAGGTATGACCTTGCGCTGCCAGGGTGCACCTGCCTCGGCCTCTGGAAGGGGTCTAAAAATTGCCACGTCCCTCCCCACCAGCACTCAACTCTAAGTTCCGTCATCCTGAGACAGATGCCTGACTTGCATCGGGCCCTGGTGTTTCTTTTCCCAAGCTCCTGGGGATTTGTGCCAGGAGACTGCAGACAAAATCCAGAATGAACTTTCTGGATTAAGTGAAGGTGGCACATGACAAAAACTTCAAATTGTATTATTCATCTTTCATCATGCATTCATATGCCAAATTATAGAATCAAGCAGACTCGGGTACACAGGCAAAACACAGTCACGCATAAAACCCAAACTTGCTGCCATGGAGTCCATGCTGACTCATAGTGACCCTATAGGACAGGCTAGAACTGCCCCTGTGGGTTTCCGAAACTGGAATAAAAAACCGTCTGTCCCCTGCAAAGTAGCTGGTGATTTTGAACTGCAGGCCTTGCAGATTGCAACCCAACACCTAACCACTGCACCACCAGGGCACACCAGGCAAAGCTTGGCCTGTCATTGCTGCCAGTTCTTGAGTACCAGGGAGTGGCATTTTTTCTCTTTACGCTGGAGGGCTGAATGGAGTTCGCCTTTCTGGTTTTCTCCTACCTTTCCCTCAAGGAAACCACCACGCCTGCCGCACCTCTGCCGACTCTGTGCCACCAGCATGGCCCTTTCATCTCCAGCAGTTCCACGATTTGAAACGGAGTAGCAATAATTCCTCCTCCTGGGCTCGTTATGAGAAAGGTGTTGAGTTAAAATGGCACTGAGTGACCTTCAAGCCCTGTGTGTCATGTCCTCGTATGTGTCAGACAAGAACCATGTTCCATGAGATTTTCAAGAGCTTGTTTTTCCGAAATAGATCACCAGGCCTTCCTTCTGAGGTTACCGGCTGATGCCTCCCAGGGGTTGCTGCACTGAGTTAGTGACCATCAAATACATACAGCTGGCCACGTGGTCTGACCAAAAAAACACAACTCATTGTCATCAAGTCGATTCCAACTCATAGCCTGTGGATTTCTGAGGCTGTACATCTAGACAGAAGTAGATCGTCCTCTGTTTCTCCTGCAGAGCAGCTGGTGGTTTCAAACCGCTGCCCTTCTGGTTAGCAACCTAATGTATCCAACCACGCTCACACCAGGGCTCCCTGGCCACATCGTAAAACCCATAACCCAAACTCACTGGCATCGAGTCAGTGCTGACTCATAGCGACCCCCTGTGGGTTTCCCGAGACTGTACCTGTTGACAGGAGTGGAAACCCCAGTCTTTCTCTCGAGGGGTTGCTGGTAGTTTCGAACTGCTGACTATATGGATCGCAGTCCAACACGCAACCACCACACCACTACAGGGCTCCTAAGCTCCATCGTTCTCCCAAGGAGTACCTGTGAAACAGTATCTTGCACTTGGAGACTGACACAGGGTTTGGCGAGGCTCGGGAGAGAGAACACTTCATCTACAGGTCGGGGTGTCACCAAGGACCCCTAAGATGAGTTTTCAAGGAAAAGAGTCACAAGAAGACGGGGGTCCCGTTGAACAGGAGAATTCTGATAGGTGCTGTTTCCTCAGCTGAACCTGCGTGGGTGTTCTGAGAGCTGGAAACAACTAGATGCCCAGACTGACCTCTTTCCCAGCTGCTGGCAAATCTGTTTACCCAAGAAGTATGAAAATAAGACCCAAGGCTTCCAGTGTGTGGATTTTTTTTCACTCTTCGTTTTTTTTATAATCTCATTTGTGCTTTTGTTTGTTGATGAGAGTCTCTGGCCCTTCTCCCTGGGTATACATAGGAGTGAGTACCTTAGCAGGCAGAGCCTAACTAAAGGCTCTAGCTCTTCAGCCAGTTCTGAAAAATCTGTGGGTGTCTAAGCTGGTAGGGTTTTACGCCCTTTCTTATAAATGCCACCCAACTGCTGAGGGACACCCAACTTGAAGGAGCCAAGCTGGGTGTCCCTCACTTGGCTGAACATCACTTTATAAGCTGTCTTAGTCACCTTGTGTCGCTGTAACAAAAATACCA